AGGGAGAGAGGCGGCGAGAGGTGCTTCCCGCTGCTCGGCGGGGACAGGCAGAGGCAGGCAGCCCAGTCCCGAGGTATTGCATCGGCGTCCATCTCGCACCGCGGCAGAGCTGCCTACCCGTGCTGGAGCGCAGGGGGGCAGTAGGAGCGATCAGCCCTGTGGACAAGGGGGCACGATCCCAGCACACACCACCAAGTGACTCCCTATATGCCCATGTCCCTTCCCAGCCCACTGCTGAGACAGTGCCCCAGAGCCAGGGATGCGGCAGCAGGGCAGGGGACCTTCCTGACTCGTGGAGCCGTAGCTGCAGGGCAGGAGAGCTCTGCATACTTGCTTTTTGGCTGAGCAGGCTCTGCGGTGAGGCTCGAGCAAATGTTTTGCGGGCTCTGCTCCATGTCCACCCAGCCTGCTGCTGCGAGCCCTTCCCAAGCCCCCAGTGGGCCAGATCTGGGGCACAAGCTCAAGGCTGCCTCACAGCAGGGTGCGTGCAGGCCTGCCCCTCTCCTGCTAGCTGTGAGTTTTGGAGGTTGCCAGGGCTGGGCCTCGGGGCTGGTGCCAGCCCTAACAAGCAGAGAGAAAGCTGGTGTTTGGGCTGGAAAGCGTGTGCCTTGCAGGGTGGGGAGCGGGACTGAGACATCTTGCTACACTGCCTTAGGTGTGCAAATCCATCGGGGGCCAGAGAGAAGCCACAGAGCAGCTGCAGACAGATGTGCGGGTTGTTCTCCAGGGACAGCACAAGCCCCAGCACCAGAACTCTGCCCAATCCTGCTCTGGGCCCCTGGGTTGGGGAGCTGGGGGCTCAACCTGCCCCACAGCAGCTGGACCTTCCTACCTCCTTCCCTGCAACCGCACAGCCTCTGTCTCCCACCCTAGTAACAGGGGAAGGAGCAGAACAGAGCCAAGGGCCCCTGAAGCCTGCACCCCACATTCCCAACTGCTGGAGGTCTTGGGGGAAGGACAGAAAACATCCCACACTCACCCCATGGCCCCTTCCCAGTGCCCTGCACCACTGTGCTGCCTGGCACCAGCAGCCCCGCAGGATGGATGGGACATGGACACTGCAACTGCTGCTTGGAGCCCCACCAGCTTTTTGGGGTGCACAGCCAGGGTGGGGAGAGTTCTGCTGGGCTTGGGGCAACCGCTGGCAGTCCTGGCCCAGCCTGGGTGCCCACACTCACACTCCCCAGTCCCTGCTAGCCCGGCAGCATCACACTGCAGCCATGCTCCCCGCAGCACCCAGTAGTGCGGAGCTGTCAGGGCTGTTCCCTGGGCACCAGCTCTGCTCTACACCCTCACTGGGATCCCCCTTTGGGAAAGGCAGACGGCAGCCTGGGGTCCCACTAGGATCACTGCCTTGGGGCTAGGACCCAGGCCCGGACACGGGGCTGCCGTGCCTGCAGCTGCCCAGCACCAGGACAGCCGCAGGCAGGTATATTCCCAGCATAGGGGTGAGGTGGGGAACACAGGGTGGGTTGTTCCCCCTCTCACTCAGCCAGGCCCCTGGGCACAACCTCCCACAAAGCCCAGGCCAGGGGCTCCCCCACTTAACTCAGCTTTGCCACCCAGTGTCGCTTCCCAGGGAAACGCCACAGTAATAAATAAGTGTAAAAAGAGACCGATGCACCTTTTAAGCAAAGGAAAACCATGGGGAGAGTTACACCAGTGACTCGAGCACAGCCGAGGCACGGAGCAGGGAGCAGGGGGCAGGGAGGGTGAGGGCCCTCCTGGGCTGGCCCCACGAAGCCTCCCGGCTCCGTGAGCCTGGCCTTGCCTTGCTGTGCTCCCGGCCGTGCCAGGCGGCAGCTAGCGGGACAGGGGCGTCTGTTTGAGGGAGATGAGCACCGAGCGCATCCGGGAGACATCCTTGCTCTGCTTGCTGCTCTTGGGGTTGAAATCACAGAGCTGGGCCACCTTCTCCCACTCGGAGCCCGGGGTCTCCTCCTTGGACTCCTTCAGGAATGCTTCCTCCGAGGCCCTGGGGAGACGTTGAGGGTTGTCACTGGCAGAACCCTTTCCAAGGAGACCCTCCCCTCTGTCTGGGAGCCCCTCATGTCCCCGCTGCCTGTCCCCTTGCTCCAGCCAATGACCTCAGCATCCTCCAGGATCCAGAGACACAAGATGCTCAAGGCTGCTGTTGGCTGCGCTCGCCCCAGACATCATTCACCCAGGGGCAGTGGGGTGTCTGTCTGCTCCCAAGACTTCTCCACCCCCTGAGCCACCCCCCAAAATGACAAGACCCCATGGCTTTGTCTCTTCAACCAGCCCCCACAGGGGCATTACCAGGAGCTCCAATTGCCTCCTGAGACTCCACCATTTGAAGACACTCAGCTGCATCGTCCTCCCTCCAGGATCTCACCGGGGCCCAGTGCCTCCCAGCATCCCCCCTCCCCTTAGCTGGGCAGCCAGCGCTAGGACCAGGACCCTCAGACCCTGCAGGGCAGGATACAGTCTGGAAGAGGCACATACACATAGCCAATGACATCGGCGTCCGGCTGCTGGTAAAAGGCTTTGTCAGCGATCCTAGCCCCCGAGGCACAGACAGAGAGAGAGCCAGAGCAGACAGGCAGGCAGAGGGTTAGAAAGAGAGAAACAGAGAAGGGGTTAGCAACCTCCCCCAGAGCGTGACCCACTCATCACGGCACATTATGCACCACCAGAAAACCCTGCCGGTGACGGCAGGGCTGCACAGACCGTGCTCCAACCCTGCCACGATGCAAGGCACCGAGATCCCAGGGTGATCCCAGCGTGGTCCCAGCCAGGGTGGCTCTGCACAGTCGCTGGAGCCACTTGAAGCCCTGGGGCCTCTCCCCTTGCCTGGCCAATCTCTGTCCCTGCAGGGCTGGGCCCCGCTGTGGGGAGAGGTGCCCAGACATCCCAGCGAGGTAGATCTGGCTGCGCAGCAGCTCACACCACAGCCCTCATGGCCACACTGACCCCAACATACCTGTTGTTTGCCCGGTTCTTCTCCATCTGCTCATTCTGACGCAGGTTCCACTCCTCCAGGTCCTTCTTGGCCTTCTCACGCCATTCCTACCTTCGATGCCGCATCTAAGGCCAGAGCAAGACAGACCCCATCAGCCAGACTGGCACCCACTGGGTATGCTGGGCAGCCCCTCGGCAGGCAGGACAGCTGCAGCCCCCCAGGCCTGTCCCCAGTCCCCATGACTACTGTCTGAAAGGCATTGCTGCCCCAAGGACCTCAGATCTCTGGAAGGGGTGCCCACATGGCGTGGGGCACGAGACGCCTCTCTGGGATGCAGCAGAGTCACTGCCAGGTGAGGGACCCCAAGGGCCCCGACTGCCACATCGCGAGGTGCCACGAACACGGCCTTGGGTCTCACCCAGCTCCTCCAGGCGCTTCTTCTGCTCCTCCCTCCACTTGCGGATGCTCTCAGGTTCTTGGGTCAGCCGGTCAGCCTTGGCTATGGCTGCGTAGGCATCCGTGGGACCGTTGGACTCCTGCGGGAGATGAGCACCTCACCATCAGCACCAGCTCTTCCCACAGCCCAGCCACCTCGAAGGGCTGGCAGCAGGGCAGGACTCCACACTCCCAGCACTCAGACAAGCCAAGACAGGAAGTAGGGAGGGTGACAGCCTGGGACATCTGGGACAGTGTCCCCAAAGCGCTGCTCAAGCTGCTGTCCCAGCTCCCAGCCCCAGGCCCTGTCACTGAGAAAGACTTCCCAGTGTTCCCTTCCTTCACTTTCTGCTCACTGCCAATGCAGCACTCGCATCCTCTGGGCAGCCCCCCAGCAGAGGACAGCCACCAGCTTTGTGACATGCTCCCCACCAGCACTGGGCTTCCCTGGCCCTGACTTGGGCCAAGGCAGCCCCAGGACTTGAGTGTCACTACAGGCTTGGCCACAAGAGACAGGGAGAGCCGAGGTGAGAGGCAGGGCCCAAGGGAGGTACTGCTCCCCGCCTGGACACCAGCACACAGGCAAGAGCCTCCCTTGTTCCTCTGAGCCGAGCTGGCTGTAAGGCTCCCACCAGGCTCACCACCACGCTGGCTCAGCACCTCTCCTAACACCTTCCGCTGGCTGGGATGCCCAGCCCGACACCAAGCTCAGCAATGGGATTATGGCTTTCCTCCAAGATCCCCAATCTCATTAAGTCTGTCCCATTTCTCATGTGATTATCCCATAAACTAGGCACGGGCAATGCACATGCCACACTGCTGGGCACCAAGTGGGATGAAGGGCTTGTCACAGCTTCTCCTGTAGCCAGCAGAGCTGGGCTTTGGGCTCCCAGAGGGAGCTGAGACCCAGGTGGGTGGTCCTCACAGAAGACCCTTGGCCGTGGAGCAAGTGGGTTTAATGGGAGATGCTGCCAAGTCAGCAAAGCTAGTGTCCCATGGCAGCCCTGTCCTGGCTCTGGCCTCTGCCAAGAGATGCTCCCGACTGCCCCAGCAGCCTCCAGGAGCTACCCAGGCTGGAGAGGGGCCTTCTGTGGGGAATGGAGGATTTGTCATCTGCTCTTAGGGCCCAGGCACTCCTTCAGGGCACAGGCCACCTACAAACAGATTTGGGGCAGGTTATGGCAGATGGGACCAATCTTCTCATCAAAAAGGGGTGAGAATGAAGCAGCCAGGACTCCCTCACGAGACCCAGACCTTTCCAGGAGCACCACAGCTGTTCTGCAGCAGGACAGCAAACTCCAGTCAATCCTGGGGGCAGAGCAGCAGAGTGCTGGCCCCATACCCACCAAATCACCCTTAGCACCACGGGGCCAGGGAAAGGGGCTGAGGTCTCTTACCTGAAAGACATCTCCGTTGACAGTGGCTCCTCCATTCTGTAAACCAGCTAGAGAAAAAGGAAGAGAAAAAGAGAAACACAACTATGGCAGCTGAAGGTGATCGCAGAGAGACTAGTTATGAAACTGAAGCAAATCAGTTCCTGGGAGTTTGTTTGTGCCATTTCCAGCCCAGCACACCCATCCACAACAGCCCCACGTATGTGGGCCAGGCCCCATGGTGTCCTGTCCTTGGTGAGATTCAGCCAGCACCTCTCTCTCTCCCAGACAAGCTTCTCCGGGCATGTATGTCTTTACGATGTTTTCACTGGTATTTTATCTTATCTGAAGATTAGAGAAACGGTTCCAGGCACGAGGCTGGACACAGGCAGGTGCTCTGACTGTAGAAAGACAACTTGACCAACCCCAACCTGCAAGTGGCCAG